GCTCTCTCTATTTCTCTCAAAATGTCTGAAACAGTTAATTTTTTACTGTTTTTCAGTGCATTCTGGGCATTTTGGAAGGTCTCCTGAGGTTATCTTTAAAAAACACTTCTAAACACAAACGCTCATAAACACGGTATGCAAACGCAACTAGATGTTTTTTAACCTACTTTTCCAGCAGTCAGTTTCCATCATTCAGAAGTGTCCCGTGTACATGGGGCCTTATACAATCACGAATGGATCTTATGTCTATATATGTAATAGCCTAAAGCTTAAAAAACAGATATATTTTGTATCACCTTAGTTCATCTCATATCAGGTGAACTTTGTATGCTATATTATCTTCACTGCAGTGTAATAAATGCACCTTTCTTTATCATTTGGACTCACTATCTGATCTGAAAGGTCTAGGTTGTAGACCCTGTGACCTGAAGTTACAGAACTAAGAAATGAAATTGCCTCAATTCTAGCGCCTAAACTAGGTGGGCACTACATTAATAAGAGAAACAGAAGAAGAAAAAGAACAAGGTAGACCGTTTCTTGCCCAGTGCCAACCCCCAAGAGAACAGTAGCAAAAGATCAGTATGTAGAGTGTATGTATTGTAGACATGGTGACCAGACACTCTCAAACTGTTGTTGTTTATCCTGGAGAACACTGGCAACTTTTTCAAGCCACATTATCCAATAACGTTTACTCTTAGCTATATTAACCACTTCCATACCGGGCACTTTTACCCCTTCCTGCCCAGGCCATTTTTCAGGTTTCAGCGCTCTCACACTTTGAATGACAATTGTGCGGTCATGCAACACTGTACCCAAACTAAAATGTTATCATTTTCTTCACACAACTAGAGCTTTCTTTTGGTGGTATTTAATCACCACTGGGGTTTTTATTTTTTGCGACATTCTGAAAAAAAAAAAATCTTGAAAAAAAACCCCAGGTTTTTCTTTGTTTCTGTTAAAAAAGTTTGCAAATAAATAATTGTTCTTCATAAATTTAGGCCAAGATGTATTCTGCTACATGTCTTTGGTGAAAATAACCCAAATTAGGATGTATTATTTAGTCTGTAAGAAAGTTATAGAGTTCACAAACTGGTATAGATCTGAATATTGATCAATCCTGAAGTACTGACAGCCAATCTAATTTCTTGAGGTCCAAGAATGTCAGAACAGTACAGATATCCCCCAAATGACCCCTTTTTGCAAAGTAGATAGTGACGTACTTCATAAGAGACATGGCGAGTTTTTTTGAAGTTGTATTTTTTTGTCATAATTTTTCGGAAAATGAAAAAATTTTAAAAAATATTTTCACTATTTTTTTTTACATACTGTCACCAGTGCAGTACAGCGTCATCATATAACTGGCATGGCGGTGAACAGGGACACTGACTGGTGACAGTATGAAAAAAAAAAAATATATATTTTTTTTTTTTTCTTTCTTGCTATTTTTAATTTTATATTACATTTTTTTTTCTTTTTTTTAAGATTTTTTTTTTTCATATTTCACTATGACCAAAGTAGTACAATGTTACCATAGTAACATTGTACTAGCTTTGGGAAGTGATCAGTATTTTTTTTTTTTTACACAATTTGCTTTAAGCAAAGAATTACTTTGCAATAAGCAAGCATTTACCTGAATACATCGATTCATTCAGGGGTTTTTTTTTTTTTCTTTGTGCTTAGCTGTGATTGGCCACGGCTAATCACATGACACAGCTGGGCTGTGGTTGGCCCAGCTTGTGCATATGATCGCTGTGACCATTCACAGCTAGACACACTAGTATACAATGGATGGCATTAATGAAGCCATCCATTTTATACAACTGTCATGTGACCTGCTGTGATTGGTCACAGCAGGTCACATGGTACCGGCAACGGGGCCGGTACTCAGATCTGTCATCGGCCGTGTCCGAGATACACAGCCAGTGACAGATCGCGCCGCTGCGCAGCTCTGCAGGCGCGCAAACTGCGCATGCCTGAGAGGACGCCATATGGCGTCCACCCGGAACGCTGAGGGATTTTGCCGGCCGCCAGACGGCCATTGGGGCGGCAAGAGGTCATATTAAAGACTGATATTTTTTTTTGCTGCACAGAGCAGCACTGATCCTCCTCTTATCAGGTCCCCAACTGGTGCTCCTGGCCCCTCCCTCCTGCCGAGTGCCCCCATAGCAAGCAGCTTGCTATAGGGTCACTTGAGCAGGCTCGCTCCCGAGCCGCTGCTCTGTTTTTCCATTCAGATACAGAGTGCTGCTCAGCCCCACCTCCTGCTCTCTCCCTATGGCTCACTGGCTGTGATTGACAGCATCGGGAGCCGATGGCTCCCACTGCTGTCTCAGCCAATGAGGAGGCAGAGACCCAAGAAAGCCACTGCTGTCGTGTACATTGCTTTATCCAGGTGGGGCTCAGGTAACTATTAGAAGGTGCTGGGGGGCTGCTGCACACAGAAGATTTTTTATCTTCATGCATAGAATACATGAAGGTAAAAAAAAACATTGAGCTTTTTACAACCACATTAATGTATATTACAGGATTCTTCCCAGAAGTAGCTATTGTGATGTTTGCTGCCAAAAACATACAGAATATCAATGATTAAGCGTGTTTAGTTATACCAGCTATAGGTTCATTTGGGAGCCTTTCCAAGGGTAAGAGACAAAGAATTGGCAAACAAAGTTCATGGGGAGCAGAGCACTACCTCGGAGACATGTACTGCTGCAGAAAATGTATTAACATGACATTTGGTGGGTAGCAGCTATTGTAATACAGCTTAAAGTGCAAGAATAAAAAAATGCATGTGACCTTTAAATAACATGCTTGAGGGATGCCCTAAATTGCATCTGAAGTGGTGCACCTGTAGGATGTATTACAGCAAAAGTGACACAAAAAAAAAACTACCATGTGCCACTAAATTACATTTCCCCTATTGGATTGTTTTTTTTTTTTTTTTTTTTTTTTTTTTTTTAAAAAATCAGCATGGGAACTTCTAAATCAAACAAAGGGCATGAGGAGCTGGGTACTGCCCGGGAGTACATGTAGCAATGCAAAAAAAAATAAAACTGTTTGTTGGTCAGCTGCACTTTTAATTAGGCAACATTAAAACTGCACAATTCCTTTAAAGTGGTTTTAAAAGGTAATTTTTTTTTACCTAAATGCATTCTCTGCCTTTAAACCTTTAACAGTAGTAAAGCACTACCCCCTTAGGAATTACTGAGTATTTGGGTCCCCCTATAGTCCTGCACAGCCAGGCAACATGCACTTCCTTACAGACTTGCACTCCAGAGACAGTAAACAGTCCTTGAACTTGGTTTTTTTCGGATTTTATTAGGGGATTTTTACCTTGGATTGGGTTGAATGACACATGGGATGCCCAAAGAACTGTTAAATGGAGAACAACTTCTTAAAACTATGTACATATGTAAATAATTCAGTATTTCTCCCTAGCTAACTAGGAGGGTGCTACAGTAGTTTACCCACAGCCCCCTAAATACTTTGTGGGCGGAGGCAACTAGCTCATGCACATGGGGCCTTTTCCTCTCTTGTCTCCTTCCCCGATGTATACGCTCACTAATGCATGGAACAAGGCGGTGCTGCGCTCATTTGGATTCAATATTAATGCAACACCCTGACTTAGAATTGAGCTGTACACCTGATGCAATTGTATCATAACCTAAGGCCTTGCAGAATGCACCTCACTGTTCATTAATACGTGCACCTATATGGAGTGTGACATTTTGAAGGGAAGCATATGTCCTATTCACCAGTCCACGTTCCCTATCACCTCACTCCCTTCAACTTATGCCGACAACCTATTCTTCTTTATTACACATCCAGAGATAACTATTCCCAACCTCCTTCATGAGCTGCATAGTACACAGCGTTATCAAACTATAAAATAAATATACACAAAATCGGAGGCTTTAAATATCAACCTGACTCCAGAAGATCTAAATTGTCTCAGCACTAATTTCCCCTTTTTCCTGGGTCCAGAAAAAACTAAAATATTTAGGCATACATCTTACCCTCTCCCCGTCGGAGATATTCAAAGAAAATGTTCTGCCCTGATTTGATACCAACAAACGTTCACGTGGTTTGGCCGCAACAGTATTCTGAAAATGGCGGTCTTGCCTAGACTCCTATATTTACTACAAACCCTCCAGGTTGCACTCCCTAGATCCTTTCTCAGAGCGGCCAAAGCGGAATTTACCAAAAGAACAGGGGGGCCACAGGTTCCTGGATCTCTTCAAATATTTCTATGCAGTACATACTGTATGTAGATTGGATCAAACATACATCTGAAAAGGGATGGGTAGCCCTGGAACAATTTTTGTCACCACTCCCTTTACCAACGCTCCAGTAGCAATCATTACTCCTCCCCTCAGAGGTCAAAATGCATCCTACCTTAGGGACCATGGTCGACAGTGGCCAAAGCGGGCTGCTAAAGCTCCGCTGCACAGTCTTTTTCCCTAATGTCCCCAATCATAGGGGCTCTGGAGTTCCCGCAGGAGTGGAGGACATGGGATTTCAGGCTTTTTTTTTTTTTATAATTTACTTTTTATTGAATTTTAAAGAACTTACAACAAACAGAGTTGCATAGAATTGCGAAATAACATTCGCAAGGCAATGAAAGAACAAAGAAATAGTCTCATAGATGAGAGACATATAGGTATATATAATGTTAGTGCATAACAGTGAATTAGCCATCATTTTCAAACAATTTAGTAGGCAAATCGGAAACAGAACCCACGGTTCCCAAACTGCTTCAAAGATGGGGACAGAGATAGCATGCAAAGCAGTGAGGTACTCTATTCTTCTAATCTCTGCTATAACCTTCACCTATTCCAATCGTGTAGGAGGCGTAGTAGAAAGCCAATGCATGGGAATGGTTCTCTTGCCGCTGCTAAAACATGGGAGGATAATTTCCAGGCAAATTTGGAGAGGCCTGGAAAAGGTAGACCCAGCAAGAAGTGGATGGGCTCAAATGAAATAGGAGCTTGTAAAGGTAGCTGAAAAAGGTTAAGGAGTGCCAGTTTCCTCACCACATTGCCGGCAGACAGGAGCAACACTCAGATTGAGAGCATGGAGAACCTCAGGGGTCTTATACCAAAACATCAGTATTTTATAAGTGTTTTCTTTATATACTACACATATAGAAGATCTGGAGGCAGACTCCCAAATCCTACTCCATTGATCCAAGGCAATATCACGTTGGAGGATTCAAGGCCATTTGCACATATAAAGGTGTGTATCAATAGAAAGAGGACAGGTGTCTTGAAGCAGCTTATAAGTAGAGGAAATTATGCCCCATTGGTATGGACCCTGAATGGCGGCCATCTTGGTACATGTTTATTTTCCCTTCATTTGTATTACTCCACGTGGATAAAATTTTTATGTTTGATATATGATTTCAAATAAATACCACACTATATAAGCACTTTTTGGCTCCTGTGGCTGAGCTGATTCCCCCCCAGGATCACAGGAGACCTATCCCAATGGATGGGTGGATGGAGCTACAGGAGTAGATCCGGAGCTGTCAGTAGACCACTGCACCCCCAGATGTGTGATATAAGCAAATGCACATCAATATTTTCTGTCTGGTGAGTGTACATCTATCCCAAGTGGTGGATTCCTTTCATGAATTTCTGCACGTCTGCACTTCATGAATAATTGCACGTTTGCACTTTGGTACTTGGAATAATTACCCTTCCATAAAGTATTATCAGTTTTTACTGCTTGCTGAATTACTTTACAGTTGTCACGGACGCATATTGATGCACATAGTTTCACTTTTGACGCACATTTCTTTACTTTATTTATATATGTTATTTATGTTACATGCGCTGCACTTATATCTTTGAAGTTGATTTTGGACCTTTGCCGATATCCAGAATGCTAGCAGCTATTCTTAATCATTAATTTGGCAATTCTAATATTTATATACTTCATAATTTATTTGGCGCTCACTTATACATTATTTAGATATATGTGACACACTGAGTACTTGATTATTTGAATAGATTTATATATATATATATATCACAGCGCTGCACTTATAGAAAGTTGATACGTATATTGGGACTGTTGCCTATGCCCTTTAGTGCCAGCAGCTACCTGGAATTACTACCTATACTGATTGTTTTATGCACTCAATAGTACATTTATTTTATACATATAAAGGTGTGTATCAATAGAAAGGGGACAGGTATCTTGAAGCAGCTTATAAGTAGAGGAAATTATGCCCTGTTGTTGTATGGACCCTGAATGCAGATACGTTTTAAGTGAGTAAGTTTCTCAAGGGTTAAAGATGGGACTTTAGAGGAAAAAAAATGCTTTATCTGTAGATAAACATAATACTGGTGAGGTGACATATGAGTAGCTTTTTGAATCTCAGAAAAGGGTTTAAGCTTACAGGTCACTGGGTGGACCAAGTGTCGCAATTCAAATAGATTGGCCTTGGCCCAGGGACTTACACGAGCCAAAGCCAACCTAACTGGGAGATTGGGATTAAGTATGGCATTGGTCAGGGGGAACACAGAGAAGACATGGCAAATCTAACCCTACACCGCCTCAATATAGATAATGTAAAATACATGGGCACAAGCAGAAGATGTTTGTGAGAGGTCGTGTTAGGAAAGAAGAACTTTGCAGCTGCGCACGTCTGTGCGCCAACACCAGGTCCCCGATGGCTGTATCGGTGCGCATGCGCACAAGGTTGCGCACACCCCCGAGTGCGCACACATGCATGCGCTGACGTGCACAGGCGGGCTATTTAAAACCCTGCTGCAAACAGAATGGTGACTTCTGGTCTATTGCATTCTGTATCTGTATCCTGATTCCTGTGATCTACCTGCTTGACTCTGACTACAACTGAACTCTGCCTGCACCGACCTTTTGACTATCCGCTTGCCTATTCCTTTGTATCTGATCCGTCCGATTGATCCTGACTCGGCCTGCCTGACTATTCTACCTCTCGTGCCTGTGACTACTTCTGGCTACCAGCTGCCACGGTCATCCGCATCTCAGCTACACCTCTCAGTTGCCACATCTGCTCACCTGCATCCTGCTACCGACCTGCTTCCTGGTCTTCCGGGTCTTCACCTGCCAGCTGTCACCGCAGACCCATCAGGCACTCGTGCCCCTCCCAGCTCGATACTTCCTGTCTACCCTATCAGGGGCCCGAATGGGAGTGGTAAGAGGATGCTCTCTCTCCACATCAGTAGAGAACAAGGGAGGGATGTAACCATTCAATCTCGGCCCATTTTTTAGGGGGGCGCTGAGAGGACCACGAGACAAAAGTACAAAGGTGAGTAGCTAAATAATACAACACAATGTCTGGGGCCCCCAGGCCTCCCATAGATCGAGGAAAAAGAAGGACAGTATAGGCAGTTCAGTGGGATTTATTATGCCAGATGAAGTGGAGGACGGATTTCTGAAGGGACATGGGAATAGGAACAGGAAACATTTCAAACAGATACAGAAGTTTGGGCAGTTTGGTCATTTTTAGCACATTAATCCTTCCAAGGAAGGAGATGGCAAGATTGTCCCAAGATTTTAAGCATGAACAAGAGGGGGAAAATTAGCTTCATAAAGGGAGTGGTAGGAGGAGGTAAGGTTGTACCTAAATACCTCAAGGCGTGTGGGCACCATAATAGGGATAATTTAACTGAAGGGAAGATAAAATGGTAGATGGTATGTGGAGCGGTAATGCTTTGGTTTTAGCCGCGTTAACCTTATAACCCTAGTGGGCACCGAAAAGCTGTATAGTACGATGTAAGACCGGCAGAGTAATGTGGGGCTCCATCAGTGTCAACAAGATGTCATCAGCGAATAAAGACAGTTTAAATCAGTATTGTGGATGTGTATCCCATGGATTTCATAGCTATAGCCAGGGGTTCCAAACAGAGGATAAACAACAAGGGGGAAAGCGGGCATCCCTGGTGTGTACCATTGGATATCTGAAAAGAAGAGGATAAGAATGACGCTAATTTGACCTGGGAAGAGGGAGTGGAGTAAAGGGCTTTTAAAGCAGGTAAAAACGGACCACTAAACCCAAATCTCTCCAGGACTAGAAACAGCTTAATCGGTCAAATGCTTTTTGGGCATCCAAGCTCAACAAGAGAGTAGGAGTTGGGGACTTATTGACAAGACCAATCAGATCAATTGTCCTCCTGGTGTTATCTGCAGAGTGTCTAGCCGGAACAAAGCCCACCTGATCTCTGTGAATAAGCTTGGAGATACATTTGGCCAGTCTGTTAGCTAGTATTTTCAAAAAAATCTTGTAGTCAGAATTTAATAAAGCTATAGGATGATAATTATCTGAAAGGGAATAGTCCTTATTCGGTTTGGGGATCACAGAAATGTACGCACGTGTAAAATCATTGTGTAAAATCGTGTGGATGCGACCCCTTCAGGAGATCCCGATCAAAGTCAGAAGATGGGGGGCTAAAATGCCAACAAAAGACTTGTAATATGAGTAAGGAAGACCACCCTGGGGACTTGTGAGTAGGAAGATATTTGACAACATCCAATAATTCTTCAATGAAGATGTCTGCGTTCAGAGCTGTAACATGGGAAGGCAAACATAGCAATTGTAAGTAGTCAAAAAAAGCATCAAAAGCAGCCATCTGAAGGGGAGGGTGTGTATCAGGGGCTAGGAAATTATAAAGCTTCTCATAGTATTCCCCAAATATTGTAGCCATAACATGCGGGTCATATGTGGGTTTGTCATCAGACTGGAGTAGGTGGCCCGGTAGTGGGGGGGATGTTTGAGATTTAAGTCTATTTACGAGCATGTGATGCGGTTTATTAGAAAACTCATAAAATTTTTGCCTAGCCCAGGTGAGAGACTGAGCAGTTTTATGCAGGTCAAGAGCCCCAATTTGATCCCATATATGGGAAACTTTCTGGAGCCGAGGTATATACGGGTTATCTAGGCAATCGACGTTCAACTAAGGATAATTGGCATGAGAAGGATTGTCTGGCACAAACAGAGTCCTTCTTTAATTGGGCACCCATGGAAATACAGAGGCCTTTGAAGACAGCCTTATGGTCCTTCCCAGAGGGTTGAGGATGAAGACACCTAGCCAACGTTAAGTTGAAAATAAGCATCCAGGCCCTGAGAGAGCTCCTTTTCAAAGTTGTTCGAGCGCAGAAAATTCTCATTGAGGCGCAGTGGCAGACTTTAGCGGGGTGTTAGGAAGAATTAGATCAAGTGACAATGAGGCATGGTCTGACCAAGTCATTGGGTTGATCTCTGAAGAAACCAAGAAGGGGATCAGGGGGGCGGTGACAAAAAAAAATGATCCAATCGAGAGAACATGCAATGTGGAGTAGAATAAAACGTGCATGGAGTAGATAGGGAACATAATTTATTTAGGGTTTGAGAGAGAAATGACAGCTGACCAGAATTGGTTGCATACAAATTCAAAAGCACAAATGGAGAGCCCTCTTACATACATTCCAACAAGAAATAATAACCAAGTGGGTCAACCCAAGAGTAGGAAACTCGCAGGAAGCAGTTTTTCTGTATCAAAATAGCTACTCTGGCTTGAGATCAAAAGCCAAGTAGGATTGCGGAAAGCTCTTGGAGGCAAAGCGAAAAGAGCCATCCTGTTTGAAATGGGTTTCCTGAATGAATATAATATCTGCTCCCAAGGATCTGAGCTCCTTTAGAGCCATCCACCATTTGTGGACTGAATTAAGTCCTTTGACATTATATGACAACAGCCTTAAAGTCATCAGGAGACAGTAATGAGTGTAGCAGCTGTGTAACCTGAGCATACAGAAAAATTATCATCAATGAGGCAAAACAGAAAAACAATAGAAATAGAGAACCAGGTGATTAGCATGGCAACAGACCTAGTACAAAAAAATGTAACAGAGGCCATAGGGATTATAACTGGAAACAAAGATATCATCAGAGATATGTACCCGAATATTGGAGATATCCCGAGTCGTCAGGGCTGAAAGCCTGACACACCAGGGGGCAACATGGCAGCTGACCCTAAACGGTAGGAGCCTACCTCAGTAATCCACATAACAGCTGTAACCAGGATACATCCATTAGTAAAATTGCTAAGGCACACATGGGGGTATAGAAGCTCAATTAACCGGCGGGAGACCTGATACGTAAAAGAGTCAGGCAGTGGGGCCCATCGAACCAAGAAGTCAGGGACATTGAGGAGTGCAAGGAAATCTCTTCTTCCCAGCTTTAGTGGGTGTCCAGATCTTGCGTGGAATTGCAGAGGACCTGGACGGAGAAGGAGGTTGCAGAAAGGCCTCTTCCAGCAGGGGAAGGAGTGCCAACTGTGTAAAGAAGGAGTCACGTAGTAAGACTTGGGCATTATCTTTGGAGACAACTAGCTTGAAAGGAAATCCCCACTGGTAAGTGATACGGTGCTGCTGGAGATGAGTGGTGACCAGCTTCAAGACACATCTTTTTGCCAAGGTGAAGGGGGATAAATCACTGAAAATTTTAAGCCTGTCTCCTTTAAATTCCAGGGAGGACTTGTTGCGGGTAGAAGAGAGCAAGGTTTCTTTGCTGTCAAAGTAGTGAAAATGAATGATAACATCTCTGGGCCTAGTGCCCTCAGGAGGCCTTGGCCTAATGACCTATGGGCCCTGTCCATGTGCCAATCAACATCTGGGACTTTGGGGCCAGAGTGGTAAACAGAGACAGCAAGTAACGCTGAAGTTGGGAGTCAGGGACCGTTTCAGAGATGCCAAGAACACAAATATTCTGGCGGCATTCCCTGTTTTCCAGGTCTTCCTGCTGGAGCTGTACCTGAGACACGTAGTGTTTCAGATTCCATTATCCTCTCCCAGGACATGGACATATTGCACCCAATTCATCAAGCTTTGACTCATGGTGGTCTGTGCGGTCTCCCAATTGGGTAATCTCCCCCCTAAGCTCCTGAACCAGTTTCCCAATTTCAGCAGAGACAGTGCAGGTGATATTGTGTAAGAATAATTGTAGTTTGTCCTCCAGCATATCCAGCATCAGAGAGGGGACCGCTGGGGTGGGAAGCAGAGCAGCAGAGGCGGCTGTCCTCACCATTTCAGCGGACCCTCAGGAGCTCTCACTCAGACTGTTGCAACTACTCAAGGTGGGGGATGCAGGCCTAGTAAAGAAGCGATCCAGCATGGAAGGCTGGCGATCCGGAGGAGGCGGCATGGGCAGCTTCCAACACACGATTTTACCCATGAATGTGCCGTGGGTATCCTGACTTGGGGGAGAGCTCTCCCAGGTCTGTGGCTGCTGCAGGAGGGTAGAGGGAGATCCGTGAAAGCTGAGGG